TATGAATATATACGTATATGTACGTGTATTTTTATATTTATGTAATATATATATATATATATATATATGGGTATATTATGTATATATAGTTTATTTATGAACATTTATGTGCCCTTGAATACTTACATATTCAAGTCGTATTTTGTGTTTTCGACACAGTTTATCTATGCAAGGCTTATTAGTCACGTCGGCATGTAATAGTTTATTTCTATTTATCTTATATCCAGATACTTCAAACCGGTTTCAACAAGAATAGAATGCTTGTACGACCACGTTCTCTAAATAGAATACTAATGTCTTCACACATACGAGGGGATTCTGTGCCTTTTCAACACGTGCACAACACGTCTCCGTGTATTTAAATTCCGTAGTATCGCCCGCCCTCAAACAGACATGCTGGTTAGAGTACACATTAATAACTGATGCTGTTTTCATTCCGAATCCTTGGGTTTTGTTGTAATACCCACAGAGGATTCAACCTAGTCTTGGTCGCCCGATCCATAGACGCATTGGTGCAGTTGCAAGAAGAGCTCTGCGGGACATACAGTGTAGAGGTGAAGGTTATAAGCTTGGACTTGGCCCAACCAGATTGCGATACCAAGTTGTCTACGCAATTGGCAGGTAGGCATGTCAACGCCAACACCCCTGGCCTTGCCCACTCTTGGGCGCGTTATACATACGTTTGTTTTCATTTAATATATATATGTGGTGTTTATTAGGTTCATTTAATATATATGTGGTGTTTATTAGGTACATTCAATATATATGTGGTGTTTATTAGGTTCATTTAATATATATGTGTTGTTTATTACGTTCATTTAATATATATGTGGTGTTAATTACGTTCATATAATATATATGTGGTGTTTATTACGTTCATATAATATATATGTGGTGTTAATTACGTTCATATAATATATATGTGGTGTTAATTACGTTCATATAATATTTATGTGGTGTTTATTACGTTTATTTAATATATATGTGGTGTTAATTACGGTTTATTTAATATATATGTGGTGTTTAGTAGGTTTACCTATATATTGTGGTATATTTGAATGGTATCCTGTATTTGGGGGGGAGGTTGAAGGTGTGTCTATATGCCGTTGTGTAAACCGCAGGGTGTTTGTGTGTGTGTGTGTGTGTATTAAAAGTACATTCCGTTTAAGCGCGGCCTATAACACACACAACTCATCCCTTGCAGGTGATTCCAGGCCATGATTCGCTGGTCAGGCCTCTGTAGTTACTTGCTACTTAGTAGTTACTTGCTACATAGTAGTCACTTGCTACTTAGTAGTTACTTGCTACTTAGTAGTTGCTTGCTACTTAGTAGTTGCTTGCTACTTAGTAGTTGCTTGCTACTTAGTAGTTACTTGCTACTTAGTAGTTACTTGCTACTTAGTAGTTACTTGCTACTTAGTAGTTACTTGCTACTTTGTAGTTACTTGCTACTTTGTAGATACTTGCTACTTAGTAGTTACTTGCTACTTAGTAGTTACTTGCTACTTAGTAGTTACTTGCTACTTAGTAGTTACTTGCTACTTAGTAGTTGATTGCTACTTAGTAGTTGCTTGCTACTTAGTAGTTGCTTGCTACTTTGCTGATACACACCTCACACGTGCATGTACGATCGCCTCACCACAGATACTGAACCTGTGCTGTGGTTTAACAACGCCGGGTTTGCCCACAATGACTGGTTTGCGGACGCCCCTGGCGATAGACTAACCAGCATGATACAGCTCAATGTGACTGCTACCACAATGCTCACACAAATGGCCGTCAAAGTATGGGATGGAAGTGTAAGGAGTGGGTGTGTATGTGTGTGTGGGTTGCGAGCATCGCCTGGCTAGTTTGTGCCACGTTTGGGTGAGTAAAAGGTCATCGATCTGTTTGCGAAATGCACCATTTGGTTCGTACAACTTATGAGTCTCCTAGCACCGCATCGAAAGGGCTGATAGGTTGGGTGTACTGT